GGGGGGGCAGGTGGGCCTGGGGCCTCGCTGGCGGGGCTGTGCGGGACCCGCGGTTCCACCTGAGGCTCGCGGTGACCCCTGAGCACTCCGGGTCTGACTCCCTGAGGCTGGACCTCGCCGCCCGCAGCCCACCCCTCTCTCTGTTCTCTTGGGCAGGGAGCGCATGGGGAGGCCACCGCGGGCACCCAAGCCCTCCCTGGAGGGGAAGGTAAGGAACCCCAGGGTGCCCTGCAGCCCCGCTGCCCCTGGGGGGCTCCCTTGAAGCCGGGCGGCCGGCTACAGAGGAACCAAGAGGGCAGAGGCTCCCACTATCCCTGAGACCGCTGCACCCCTCCTGTGCTGATGTCACCTTCCCCACCTTCCCGACCGGCCCTACCGGCAGCTGCCTGCTTCTGGGATTATTCAATCTCTGTGCATCAGCATTCCCTGAGCGCCTACTGTGCTCTGCCTACCCCACGGGCACCTCCCTACATACAGTGCCCACCTGTGGCACAGAGAAAAGACCTCTAGCGTCGAATCCCTGACCCAGAGAGTGGCCTGGGCAATTTTCTTTCCCTCTGAGGGATAACGTGGCACACTCATCTAGCCCTTGCTGTGTGCCACTGACTCACTGTATAACCAGGGCAGTTCTTCTTACCTTTATGAAACAGAAGAAAGGACTGAGTGGCCTGGCTCGCACCTGTATTCCCAGCACTTTGGGAGGTGGAGGCAAGAGAATTACCTGAGCCCAGGGGGTCAAGACCAACCTGAGCAACATGGCAAGACCTCATTTCTACAATAAAAAAAATTAGCTGGGCATGATGGCACATGCCTGTAGTTCCAGCTACCTGGAAGGCTGGGGCAGAAGGATTGCCTGAGCTCAGCAGGTCGAGGTTGCAGTGGCCGTGAGCGTGCCACTGCACTCCAGCCTGGGCAACAGTGTGAGACTCTGACTAAACAAACAAACCAAAAAAAAAAACCCCAAAACATCTCCTATGTGCCCTGGCTGGGCCCACATCTGATCAATCAGGAAACAGACCTACAGAGGTAGGTAATCACAACAGGTATAAAAGATCAAGCCCCCAGGTGTGACTGGCACTGCGTGATCTCTTTCAATCCTCAGGACATCTCTGAGAAGGGCCTGCTGAGGCCAAGAGAGGTTGGGTAACCAGGCCACCGTCACACAGCCTGGAGGCTGGAGGGGCAGGGTTCAAATTCAAACCGAGGGTCCCTGTGGTTGCCAAGCCCCAGAGCCATCGTTGCTCCACGCTGGTGTTTAGTTCCAAGTCCCAGCTCGTGGCTGGTGTGGCTGCAGGAGGAATGGCCTCCTTTTCCTCCTCTGTCCAGGGAGGAGGGTGGCACCCAAGGGATTTCTGGCTTGGGAGTGCAGCATCTTCACCTGGCCGTGAGCCTTGGTCCTGCCAGTTCTCCCTCGAGTCTCTCTGTGACCTCACCTCGCTCCCAGCCCATGCTGCACAAATATTTGAGGAGCAGCTTGGCTTATCAGGGCGCCTCTCCTTGCCAGAGTCACGCTGTCTCCCTGGCGACCTGGGCTCACCCTGTGTTTGCAGACCATGAGGGAGCCACCGGCTGGGACTGCAGGACGAGGGCCTTTAGATTGATTCTGAGCCTCCTACTCTGGTCTTTCTCCCTGGGCACACCCCGGCCAGACCCCTGCCACACCCACTCGCCGTCTCCCACTGGTCCCCACCAGGCCTTTCCTCCTGCCGTGCCCTCTGCCGGTGTGCTCTTTCTCTGCACCCTCCCTCACCCGTCTGCAGAAATCCTCCCCTGCTTCTGGGGTCCCTGCTTGGAAACATGAGTGGGCTGAATGGAAATGACCCACCCTGGAGGCCTTCCCTGTCTCCTGGGTCTCTGGGTCCCAAAACCCCTGCTGCGTGCCTGAGTCCATGCTGGACACTGGGCTCTCAGGGATGAATCAGACCCGCTCCTGCCCCTTTCTCTGAGGTAACTGTGGCCCGGGCAGGACAGTAGTGAATGCTCTCCTTCAGACGTGTCCATGTCTGGCCTTCTGAGTGCTTCAGAGGCCACAGCTACTGCTGTGCCCCTATGGAACAAGGCACCCAGTAGGTCCTCATAAAGCTTTTTTTAATGTGTTTGTTTGAGTCAGAGTCTCACTCCGTCACCCAGGCTGGAGTGCAGCCACCCCACAGCAGACCTGCTGGGCTCAGGCGATCCTTCCACCTCAGCCTTTCAAGTAGCTGGAACTACAGGCATGCGCCATCACATTCTGCTAATTTTTTCATTTATTGTAGAGACAAGGTCTCACCAAGTTGCCTGGGCTGGTCTCAAACCCACGGGCTCAGGCAATCCACTCACCTCGTTCTCCCAAAGTGCTGGAATTACAGGCTTGAGCCACTGTGTCCAGCCTTACAAAGCTTTTATTACTGTAATCAAGCCAGAATTAAAGGAGCAAAGTGCAGTTCTGTGAGAGCGGGGATGCCTTTCTGCTGTGCTAGACATAGAGCCTGGCACATAGTAGGTGTTCAATCAGCACTAATAATAGCTCACATTCAGCACCTATTATGTGCCAAGCACTGTTCTGGTATTTTAACTCAACAAATGATGGTTCCCATTTTCCACACGAGGAAACCGAGGCACAGAAAAGTGAAATGACTTACTCAGTGTGGCCCAGCTAGCAAGTGGTGGACCCACTTGCTTCCCGAGGGCTGCAGAATGGGCAGTCAACTGGAATTGCGGAAAGGGCATAGGTTTGGGCATCAAACAGGCATGGACTCACATCCCAGCTCTGTGGGGATGCCCCAGACCTTTTCCTCTGAGCCTCAGTTTCCTTGCGGATAAAACAAGGTTATTTTGAAAAATAAAAGCAACGGTCCGGATGCGCTGGCTCATGCCTATAATCTCAGCACCTTGGGAGGCTGAGGCAGGTGGATTGCTTGAGCCCAGGAGTTCGAGACCAGCCTGGGCAACGTAGCAGGACCTTGTCTCTACCAAATATCAGGAGATCAAAGCTGCAGTGAGCCGTGATTGTGCCGCTGCCCTCCAGGCTGGGCGACAGAGTGAGACCCCGAGTCAACAACAAAATTTCTGTGAGGGTTGGATGTAGTTTCTGCCCTGTGGTTGGATGGTTGTGCAGGTGTCCCTCTCTCCCTGCATCCTGTGGAGGCTGCCTCATGGTGGGCGATGGTGGGAGGGGTGGGCCGTGGAGCAGAGACTGGATCCCTATAACCCGTCTCTGCCAGCCACCAGCTGCTGGACCTGGGCCGGGGGTGGGCCTTAGGTGGGGGGTGGGCTCATGGGCACCATGGAGGGTTGAGGAGCCCCTCCTCCAGCATGCCCTCCCTGATCCTAGCCCACCCTGGCGGGAGAGGGGGGCTGCTCACGGGGCGGGGCATTGCTACCCGGGCCAGCCCTGCCCCCCGTCCCCCCCCAACTGCCGCCCACTGGCTTGTTTCCGCCCTGCAGACTGCAGCCCCCTTTGCTGCTCGCGCCGTGGGGCCTGCCTCTCGGCCTTCCTGCTGCTGTTCCTGGCGGCTGTGGCGGCCCTCATCGCCCTGGGCAGCATCCTGGGACTCCCACGACACTCGCCAGGTCAGGGCGGTCGGGAGAGGGTGGGCCAGACCTGCTGGGAGGGGAGGGGGCACTGGAAAATGGGGAGCCCTCACCCTGCCTGGTGTCCACAGACACACCCAGACGCCCGCACACACTGACACAGACACGGCTCAAAGCCTTCACTTGTGCACGTGACCTGAGATATTGAGAGGACCCAGCTCTGATGTCATTTCCTCCAGGAAGCCTTTCGGGACCCCCAGGCTGGGTTAGGAGACGGTCGGTCTCAGCCCCTACTTTCTCTTCCCCTGGCCAGGCCACCCTGCCTGGTGCGGTCAGTCCCTCTGTGTGTCCAGCCCCTCCATAGAGGACAAGGTCGTGTCCAGTACATCCCTGCAGCCCCAGCTTTAGCGGTAAACAACCCCGACATGGTCCCTGCCCTCAGGGAGCCAACGGTTTGAAGAGCAGTGTAGACAGGAATCCAGTAAGCACATGAGATCAGAGTTCAGGGGACCCTGCGAGTCCAGAGTGGGGCTCTGCCATCTAGGAGTCAGGTGGGCACCTTGGAGGAGCGAGAGGGACCTGGGGCATAAAGGGAAAGTGGGCATCGATTTGGGGGGGGATGCCAGAAAAACATCCCAGACACAGAGAACAGCCTGTGTGGAGGGAGGAAGCGTGAGGAGGAGGGACTGCAAGAAGCCATGGACACGGGGCTGGGGGTGCTGGCTGGGCCAGGAGCCCACGGCCTCCAAGGCTGCCGGGGGGGGGGCTGCCACCATCCAGGAGCCTTGGGGAGGACATCGAGCGGGGGCGAGCGTCCTCAGATGGACCCTTCTGAAGAGTGACTCTGTAGTCGGGCAGGACAGGTGTAGGGGATGAGGTGAGGGCCGAGTAAAATTCACAGCATTGTGCCTGCCTGTGCGGGAACATGGGCGCTGAGGTACAGGTGAGTACATGAGGGGTTGTAGTCACGTGGCTGTGTGTGCGTGTGCGTGTGTGTGTGTGTGTGTGTGTGTGTGTGTGTGTGTGAGAGAGAGTTTCAGTGGGAGCCTCACTCTGTCACCCAGGCTGGAGTGCAGTGGCGAGATCATGACTCACAACAGCCTCCACCTCCTGGGCTCAAATGATCCTTCCGCCTCAGCCTCCCGATTAGCTGGGACTACAGGTGCACACCACCAAGCCTGGCTACTTTTTGGATTTATTGTAGAGACGAGGTCTTGCCAAGTTGCCCAGGCTGCTCTTGAACCCCTGGGCTCAGGCAGTCCTCTCACCTTGGCCTTCCAAGCTGCTGGGATTACAGGCGTGAGCCACCATGTCCAACCAGTGAGTGTGTGCAGGTGTCTGTGTACATGTGTACATGTCTGTGTGGAAGCATTATGTTTGTGCACCTGTGTATCTGTGCACATAGGTGCAGATGTGTTTGTGAGCATGTGTGCGTCTGTGTGTATGTGTCTGTGATGTGAGTATCCCTGACAGCTGGCCCCCCATCACTGTAGCTGAGGCAGCTGAGAGGGGGTTCATGTGTGCACAAACACAAATACACAAGCCAGCTTCCATCCCAAATTACATACGTGTACACACGTGAGGCCCGGGCAGCCCACCACCCTGGTTTCTCTCCTTTGATTCTCTGGGGCAGCCCTGAGGGTGGCGTGCCCCCCGTGGGAGGCTAATGATGGCACTTCACAGGAGTGTCTGGGGAACAATGGAATAAAACTCTGAGTGTGCTTTGCAGCCTGTGAAGTTATGCTCAGATGTAAGGGAGTGTGACCTTGGCCCCCAGCCAGCTCGCATATGTTGCTTCTGACAGCCTCACCTCTGATGGGAAGTCTGCCATCAACACTGCTCCTCGGAGCTGCATGTGGTTTTGGGAGGCTTCCTGGGAAGTTGTAAGTGGGTTTTCAGTAGAGGAGAGACCGTCACTCAGCATGTTCTCTGCTCCGTGTTTATCCACAAAGAAGCTTGCCCTTAATCCCAAGGGTGCCCAGGGGTGTGTGCTAGGGCCCTGTCTTGCAGACCAAGAGCCCAAGGCACAGAGGCTGGTCACCTGTCCGAGGTCAATCAGCCGGCAGGCGACAGAGCTGGAATTGAAGCCCATCTGTGGCCGAGTCCAGCGGCCTCCCGACCACCCCAGCCCCCCGAGCCAGCCCAGGGTGGGGCTTGGGTGAGGACCTCGGGTGGGTTTGGTGGCAGTGATACCCTTGTGCGCACTGCCCTGGACCCTCGGGATCTCCCCTGCCCATTCAGGGCCCCAGGCGTGTGCGACACCAGCAAACAGGACAGGCTTCCGGTGCCATGACCAGAGGAGCTGCATCCCGGCCAGCGGGGTCTGTGACGGCGTTCGTACCTGTCCCCATGGCGAGGACGAGGATGAGCACTTGTGCCGTGAGTACCTGCTGGGTCCTGCCCGCCCCGATGGACCCTCCCAGGATGTGGCCCCCTCCAGCCCCCCTGCAGCCATCCTGAAGCCTAACTATGCCTGAACATACCAGGCACCTCCATGTCCTCTGCCTTTGATTCTAAGGCTGCCCTCCCTGGTCAGTCAGGGACACACCCGTGCGCCCACACTAAGGAGTGCCTTCTCTCTGTGCATCTCCATGCTGGAGAACCTGTGTTCATCCTTCAGGGCAGAACCTCCTCCAGGGAGCCTTCCCTGACTCCCCCCTTTGGGCTCCCACAGCCCCTGTGCTTCCCGGTATCCCAGCCCTAGTCATGTTGGCTGTCATTCTCGACTGGCACATCTGCCATCCCCTTCAGACTGTGGTCTCTCTGAGCCCGCCTTGGTCTGCTCCATCTTGGGCCCCCGTGCCTGGCATAGAGGAGTGTCCAGAATGACATGCTGAATGAATGAGTGAATGAATGACTGGGACGACCTGGTCTCAACCTTAGAGACCTGAGGGTCCTCAGGAGAGAAGAGCTGTGACTGATGGGAGTAGGTATTGAAAACATAAATCAAGCCGGGCTTGGTGGCTCAGCCTGTAGTCCCGCGCCTTTGGGAGGCTGAGGTGAGTGGATTGCCGGAGCTCGTGGGTTCGAGACCCACCTGGGCGGCGAGACCTCATCTCTACAATAAATCAAAAAATCAGCCGGGCGTGGTAGCGCGTGCCTGTAATTCCGGCTACTCGGAAGACTGAGGCGGAAGGATTGCCGGAGCCCAGCAGGTGGAAGCTGCGGGGGCCGGGAGCGGCCACTGCACTCCAGTTTGGGCGACAGAGTAAGACTCCAACTCAAAAAAAAAAAAAAAAAAAAAAGCATAAATCAGGACCTGGCCCCACAGGGGAGAGACAGCCTGGTGAGCTGGTGTGGGTAGGGTGGGGGAGCTCGTGGGGGTTTATCATATCACAGACCCTCAAGAATGGAAGAAGTCTTTTTGGGAGGGGTTGGGGGGATCTCACTCTGTTGCCCAGGCTGGAGTGCAGTGGCATAATCACAGCTATTGCAGCCTCGACCTGCTGGGCCCAGGAGATCCTGCTTCGGCCTCCTGAGTAGCTGGGACTATAGGCGTACACGACCACACCCGGCTAATTTTTTATTTTTTGTAGAGACGAGGTCTCACTGTTGCCTAGGCAGGTCTTGAACTCCTGGACTCAAGTGATCCTCCCACTTCGGCCTCCCAAAGCGTTGGCATCTAGTCCAGGCCCAGCTCATCCCAAATCCTCCCAAGCAAGCCCGACAGAGGTCACCCAGCCTCTGCTTGCACACTCCTGGGATGGGGAGCTCATGACCACATGAGGCAGCCGCTTCCAGAATTGGATGGTTTTTCCATGGGAAGGTCTTCCCGTCCTGAGCGTGGAGCCACCTCCCAGCAGCGTCCCTGAGAGGCTCCAGTCTGGCCTTTTCTCAACCCTTGTCCCCAACTGCAAGGGCTTGGAGGTTCCTCTAACGCCCCCATGAGCGTCCCCTTCTCCAGCTACATCCCGAACTCTCACACCCCACCCCGTGACTCAGTTGACCCTCCCTGCCCTGCCAGCGCTCCACAGAACACATATCAACCGCCCATGTCCCTCTCCTGGGACAGGCCTCAGAAGCATCCATGATCACACCGCGGCCTAACACTGAGCACACTTTCAAAAAAGGTGCTCTGACTCCCTCTCACGAGGTATGTGAGTCCTACCCACCTTGATCTCCAAGGCCCAAGTGTAGGACTTCACATTTGCTCTTGTTATGTTCCAGTTGGAGGAGGCTTCCTGAAGGTGAAAGAACTTGAACCTGAGCTTGAAAGCAGAATGGCTTTATGTTTTATTTTTGAGTCAGAGTCTCACTCTGGTGCCCAGGCTGAAGTGCAGTGGCACGATCCCAGCTCACCACAGCCTCGACCTCCTGGGCTCAGGCCATCCTTCTGCCTCAGCCTCCCAAGCAGCTGGGACCACAGGCCTGTGCCGCCATGGCCAGCTAATATTTAAATTTTTTTTGTAGAGACAAGGTCTCGCTATGTTGCCTAGGCTGGTCTTGAACCCCTGGGCTCAAGCAGCCCTCCCGCCGCAGCCTCCCCCCGTGCTGGGATTACGGGTGGGAGCCTCCGCAGCCAGCCTGGAATGGTTTTAGATTGGTGGAGGCCGTGGTGTGGAGCTGGGCAGGGCATGAGGAAAGGCGGGTGGGTGGACAGCTGACTGGGCTTCCGTGCGGGGAAGAGGCTCCCCTCTGCCTCAGCCTCCTTCTTATGCCCCTCTGGGATGGGCAGGCGGTGACCTTGAGCTTGGCCACTGCCGGGTGGCCAGGACGGTCCACAGAGTGCCCCGAGACAGCCCTGGCCAGATGTGGCTTCCCCGCCGCCTCTGTCCCTTGGCAGGAGATGTGCCCCGGAGCCTTCCCAGCTTCCTCGTGGCCCGCTGCGGAGACCCGGCCTCCTGGATCTACTCAGACCAAAAATGCGACGGAACCAACAACTGTGGGGACTGCTCCGATGAGCTGAGCCCAGGTGGGGGTCAGGCACGGCCTGGCGGGGCAGAGGTGACCAGAGAACCTCCAAGGTCCAGCCCCCCCACATGCCTTACCTGCATCCTAGGAGGATGTTTTCTGTCTCTGCTTGAATACCTCCAGAGGTGGGGTGCTCACTCCCACTCTGAGTGGCTCCTTCGGGAGGTTCATTCCTCTGAGGTAGGGAACTTGGCTTCGAGGGCACAGAGGAGAAGCAGAGCCCAGAAGGCGGATGTGCAGGAGCATATATGTGGTCCAGCTGGGATCTGAACCCTGGTTTCCTCAGTTCCTCGGCACCTCCCAACTACCCTGTGAGGAAAGCAAGGTCTCACTGGCCCCAGTTTATTGTAGGTAAACTGAGGCTTTGCCAGAAGAGGGAACTTAATGCAGTGAGTGACAGGAAGGGAGTGTGGATGGAAACTCAAGTCTCCCGACTCTGAGTCACTGCTCCAGAGTTTCCTTTATATCTCTTCCCCAGTGTTCGGTCAACAAACGTGTTCTGAGCACTGATGGGGGCTGGGCCTGGTGCCACGTTCTGATGGGGACAGTCAGGAATCAGGCATGTGTCCTACCCTCGGGACTCACATCATGCTGATGCCAAAAGGAAGTGCTGGGGCCCTGGAGGAATCCTGGGAGACTTCCCAGAAGAGGAGGCATTCAAGCAGGCCTTAGAAAATAGACTCTCAACGAGCAGAGGCTGGGTGTGAGAGGAGGCTTGCTGGAGGCCTGGGGTGCTGGGTTAAGGAGAGAAGTCTGGAAGGCCCCCTCAGGAAGTCACAGTGGGCTGTCGTAGCAGGTGCCAGGGTGAGGGACCGAGGAGGTGTATGTGTGGGGGGGGACAAGATACACCCATTAATGTTTAAGCCTTGATCATGAGCTCAGCACTTTGCCTATTTCCCTTTACTTAATAGCAAGCTTGAGCAGATGAGGAAACAGGTTCAGACAGGGTGGGCGAGGTCACACAGATTCTAGATTCTCTCTGCTGCAGGAAAACCAGAATACAGTCAACCCACGTCGGATGGTCTGGGGCCATGGGGAGGCGTCAGAGCTAGGGAACGTCCTGGGGGCACATGACATTCCAAGACACAGCAACTGGTCTTCTGCCGGCTCTTGTCTTCCCAGTGACCCTGTGCCCGCCCTGCGGCCCAGGGTGGTGGCGCTGCTCTTCTACCGTCTTCATATACTGCGGCTGTATCCCAAGGAGTCTGTGCCGGGACCACATGCAGCACTGCTCCGACTGGTCTGACGAGTACATCTGTCCCAGACCCTGAGCAGTTGCTTGGCAAGACTGGCTGGAACAGCGCTGACAAGCCTTCACGCGGGTCCCAGAGCACGAGGGCAGGAAGGAGCCTTCGAAACGGGCTCTGCACATCATTTCCAAATAGGAACTGCCTCTCCTGCTTTCAAGCTATCCAGCCTCTGCTTGAATGCCCCCAGCAACCAGGAGCTCGCTACCACATCAGGCATCTTCTAACCAAGAGGAGTGGAATCCGCTTCCATGGTCCTAGGCCCATCTCTGGGCCTATCTGCTCCAGGACAGGCTTGCAGATCCTGATCGTGTCAATCCCCGAGGGGTGACACGTCTGAGGCTCAAATGCCACGCGGAGGAATGTTTCCCTCATGGATGACATGTCGTGAGGCACGTGCCACTTCCCACCCCTTGGGCCCCACGGCAGGTGCTGTGGGCTTGCAGCAGGCTTCACGTCTTTCTCAACTCCGGTATCCCGGCGGGCCGGCTGGGAAGCACGTGAGATTGCTTGTCGTCCTACCAGCGGGAACCCATGCTGGGAGGCTCTGAGCTGCAGAACCTTCAGGGAAGGAGCAGCTTGGGTGCTCCTGCCCACCCGTTCTCCACCCCACACCGCCCACCTCCACCCTCTGCCCAGCTGCCTGGGTTTCTTGAAGGAGGGATTATATTTTGGTCCAGGGCTTGAATCAGCTACTTTTCTGCATACCTTTCCAGCTTCACGACACCCAGGCAGGCACGGATGGATATTCCCATTAGACAGATGAGAAAACTGAGGCCTGGAGGGGGAAATGACTTGCCCAGGATCATACAGTGAAGTCAGTGCTGGAACTGAGACTCAAACATCCCAGCCCAGAAGCCTTTCCAGCCACCAGTGTGGCTGGGCAGAGTGTCCTTTTGTTTTGGTTTTTTTTTTTTTGAGTCGGAGTCTCACTTTGTCGCCCAGGCTGGAGTGCAGTGGGCATGCTCACGGCCACCCCAGCATCGACCTGCTGGGCTCTGGCGATCCTCCGCCTCAGGCTTCCAAGTAGCCAGAACTACAGGGGCGCACTACCATGCCCGGCTAATTTTCGATTTATTGTAGACACGAAGTCTCGCCAAGTTGCCCAGGCTGGTCTCAAACCCGCGGGCTCAGGCAATTCGTTCACCTCGGCCTCCCAAAGTGCTGAGATTACAGGCCGAACCACTAAGCCCGGCCAGAGTGTTCATTTTAAAAGACCACCTGAGAGTAGGAAGATATTCCAACCTTATTCTGAAAGAGAGACTTGGCATTTGGCCAACGGGAGGGCGTGTGTTGACAGAGACAGATACATACCCTCACTGAAAATTAATAAAATTCCTTTTACGTGATCAGTCTCTAGTGAGTTTTGAACTGACAATGACCACCCAAGAGGCTGGCGAGCTTTGGATCACTCATTGCCTCATTCGTTAATTCACTCATGAAACAGTCTCTGTGAACCTGTTTTGGACCAAGCTATGAGCCAGTGGCAGGCCCTGGAGACCTGGATCCCAGCATGTGAGGAATGCGGGTTCTTCTAGGGGAAGAGCCTTACACCATGGGGGAATGGGCCGAGGGCACCATGGAGGGGCTGGGGGGAGCCAGGACAGTCACATTTCTGACACTGACCCGCCAAGGACCAGTCCCGGGTACAGGTGCCTTGGGGAACTTGTGCAAGGAACAGGCAGCCTGTGGCTCTCCTGTGGCCGGCTGAGTTTCAGCAGCTGTAGCTCAGGCAGAAGCTTGAGCCCTCAGAGCATTCTCAGTTCTGACCCTGAACCCCGGGAGCCTTTCTTCCCAGAAGGGAGGCCGCGGGGCTGGTGGCGGGGGGAAGGGCTTTCCAGACTGAGGCCACGCGGGTGAAGGCATGGAGACCCCTGACTAAGTATTCCGAGGCGTCTGTGCCGGGGCTCAGCCAGGGGATGTCCAGCTGGCCAGGGATCACAGCATAGGCGGGGGAGGAGCGACAGAAGAGGTAAGAGGTGGGCAGGGACCAGGTCACATCCCCAGTGCAGGCAGCTGTCGTCAAGGAGGAGCCAGCAGGGAAACCGGGCCTACAACAGCCCAAGAGAGATGGCAAGGGCGTGGACCAATGGGCAGAGGAGAGGGCGGGCGAAGGTTTTACTGGGGGAACTCATGGGTCCTAGGACCCTTCTAGGTGGGACAGCAGGGTGGGAGAATGAGAAAGACAGGAGTCCAGGATGCCTGGGAAGGGGTGCGTCTGGCCTCCTGCCGTGGGCCGTGCCTTCACCAAGAGGACTCCAGTCTCCAGGGGAGTGGAGGGTTGGATTGGGCCCTGGGGAGCAAGAAGAGCCCAGAGGCTCATTCCAGCTCTCAAGGGCCAACCCATACCAGAACCGGAAGCCCTGAGCACCGGCCATGGGAGGCCATGTCAGAGCAGAGCATAAGCCTGTGTTTGCTGATAGCAAGTCAGCTGCAGTGGTTCAGGCAGCTGGAGGGTGCCCACGTCCTGGCCGGGTCTGGTGGTGCCGCAGTGGGGCCCCTTGGGAGAGGGGCACGTGGGTGGACCTCAACAGTTCTGGGCTTCTTCGGCTGGTGGCCTTGTGCTTGTCAAAATAACACCCAGGCCAGATGCAGTCCCAGCACTTTGGGAGGCTGAGGCGGGAGGATTGCGTGAGCCCAGGAGGCAAGACTAGCCCGAGTAACACAGTGAGATCTTATTATTAAACACACACACACACACACACACACACACACACACACACACACACACACAGGCAATGGCACTTTGGGTTGCATACTATTTTATCCTCTCCCTTCCCTCAACCAAACCCAACCACAGGCCCCTGAGGGTTAAGATGTTCCATTTAGTAGTTCCAGCTACTTGGAAGGCTGATGCCCGTTTTATAGGGTGGGGAAACCAAGGTTAAGACAGACTTGTCTGGTCACTCGGCATGTCAGGAGCAGGGCAAGGACTAAAAGCCAGGCACCTAGGTGCACACAGCTAGCTCGTTTCCCTGCCAGGCCCTGCTGCAAAACTTTACGTGTGGAATCTTCAATATCTCATCTTCTATGAACCTCACAACTGCTGCGGGTACCTGGTTTGGTTATTCGCACTTTCCTGTGACACAGAGAGGTGAAGTTACTTGCCTAGGATCACACAGTTTTGTTTTGTTGTTTTTTGAGTTGGAGTCTCACTCTGTTGCCCAGGCTGGAGTGCAGTGGCCGCTCCCGGCCACCGCAGCCTTGACTTGCTGGGCTCCAGCGATTCTTCTGCCTCAGCCTTCCAAGTAGCCAGAACTACAGACACGCGCTACCGTGCCCGACTCATTTTTTATTTATTGTAGAGACGAGGTCTCACCAAGTTGCCTGGGCTGGTCTCGAACCCACTGGTTCAGGCGATCCACTCACCTCAGCCTCCCAAAGTGCAGGGATGACAAGCTGAGCCACGGAGCCCGGCCGATCACACAGTTTTTAAGACACAGCACTAAGATCCCAACATGGATAGGCCCAGATCCAGAGCCCACCACACTCGTGGTGATGTCTCTCTCTTTCTCTGCCAGGTCTCCCTAGGAGGAAAGCCGGAGGCCAGGCCAAAGGGCCGCAGCCTGCACACGGGAGATAGTTGGCTTTGACAGAGAACGGGCCTTTGTTTTTCTCTTGTTTGTCAGAAAGGAGCAGGAGCTGTGGAAACCTCCCATACAGCCCTGCATGAGGTGGGTCCAGAAAGACGCCGGGCCTAGGACGGCCAGGCAGACACCCCCCCCGCACCCCGGCTCACATTAGCAGAGCAGATGGGGGCGAGAACCCAGGCAACCAGCATCAATATTTGCCAACTCCCAGCCTCCCTGGTCCCTGCTGCAAGATCAGTGCTTGACGAACAACAGATTTTTCTGCTGTGCAAACAGGCAGGGATTGATGAATGGAATTTAAAGTGGTTCAGCCTGGGCCTCAGGGTTTGAACAGGAAATCTGGTCTGGTTTAACTATCTGCCGTCACTGTTTGCTGGGGACTTTCCTTTCATCCTTAGACTCACAGAACCACAGACGGACGCTGGAGCTGGTGAGGACCTCGGAGGCCGGCCAGGCTTTTGACAAAAGAGGACACTGCTTCCCACAGAGGATAGGGGCCAGCCCAAAAGTTGTACTGCCTGGAGGCTGCCTCTGGGATTCTTTTTTTGAGTTGGAGTTTCACTCTATCACTCAGGTTGGAGTCCAGTGGCATGCTCACGGCCACCGCAGCCTCCACCTGCTGGACTCAGGTATTCCTTCCTCCTCAGTCTTCCTGTAGGCATGCACCACCACACCCGTGCGCTACCACGCCCCACTAACTTTTTTTCATTTATTGTAGAGACGAGGTCTCACCAAGTTGCCCAGGCTGGTCTCAAACCCGGGGGCTCAGGCAGTCCTCTCACTCCTCAGCCTCCCAAAGTGCTGGGGTTATAGGTGTGAGCCACCACACCCAGCTGCCTCTGGAATCCTAAGGGCTGCCCAGGTCATGGTAGAAGCAATTTCTCGAAATCCCTTTCTAAAAAATATTATATATGTATATACATATGGTGCCAGAAAAAATGTATACACATTTTAAGTATGACGTTCACTCAAAAGATGGCATTAATCAAATGAATACTAACATCACCATGTGACAGGCAGGACAGTCAAAGAAAATGGCAGAAGCACAGTTGAGTGAATGTCATGCTACTACACACTGCTACCGTCATTTAATTCAACTTTGAAAAGCAATACATAAATAACATCTCTTAAAATGTGTATACAAAGCCAGGCGCAGTGACTCACGCCTGTAATCCTAACACTTTGGGAGGCCGAGGCGAGAGGATTGCCTGAGCTTAGGGGTTCGAGGCCAGCCTAAGCAACATGGTGAGACTTTGTCTCAACAATAAATAAAAAAAATCAGCCAGGCATGGTGGCACATGCCTGTGGTTCCAGCTACTTGAAAGGCTGAGGTGGAATGTTCGCCTGAGTCCAACAGATCGAAGCTGTGGTGGTTGTGAACCTGCCACTGCACTCCAGCTTGGGTGACAAAGTAAGACTGACTCAAAAAAATAA